AGTGTGAGGGCACTGATGTCTCCGACCTGCTCAGTGTGTGACTATTCAGTTCAGTAGTCTTTGAAAAGGACTCTTTTCATTTTACTCTGAACAGTGCTTAGAGAACATAGCTGTGACCTGTTTTCTCCAAACACGATCCAAGGTCTTTCTGCTTCACAATTGCTTGGGAGAGGGAAGTGCTTATTAAAAATTCAGATGCTAGGGCTTCCCTCCACTTCTGCTAATTGAGAGTGTCTAAGGGACTGGGATGAGAAATGATCCTTTTCAGTAAGCACCCCTGTTGATTCTTAAGTACGCCTAAAATTGATTCTTGAGTATCCTAAAGTTTGCTTCATTTTTCTTGCTTGATTCCTCTGATTTATTAGATGATAGATGTTTAGTTGCATCCATACTATTTTTCTTAAATATTGAGTACTCTAGTTAAAAAAAAATAAGTTTATAAATCCCTGTACATCAAAGATTAGAATTTGGCAGGGTCCTTCACTATCGACAAGGTGAGACAAGTTCTGATGTGAAATTAGGGTTTATCCATTTACTTTCCTCTCAGTCAGAAAAAGAATGTAGACACAGATGAATTTTGTTAAAAGAAGAAATGTGAAGCCGGGTGTGGTGGCTCAAGCGTGTAATCCCAGCACTCTGGGAGGCTGTGGCAGGCGGATCGCCTGAATTCACCAGTTCAAGACCAGCCTGAAGCTAGAGGGAGACCGTCTCTAAAAAAAAATAGCTGGGCGTTGTGGCAAGTGCCTGTAATCCCAGCTATTTGGGAAGCTGAGGCAAGAGAGCTTGAGTCCAGGAGTCTGAGGTTGCTGTGAGCTATGACATCACTGCACTTTACTGGGGTGACAAAGTGAGACTCTGTCTCAAAAAAACAAAAATGAAGAAATGGGCACTATCAGGGTTCTGGATGTGAGGAAGTAGATAAAAAGAAGGTGTTGAGAGGAAAGAGTGAAGAGGAAAAGATGAAAGTGATTTATAAATGATAAAAAATGCATTTATTAGCTGGGGGCGGTGGCTCATACCTATCATCCTAGCACTCTGGGAGGCTGAGGCAGGTGGATTGCCTGAGCTTACAGGTTCGAGACCAGCCTGAGCCAGAGCAAGACCCTGTCTCTAAAAGTAGCTGGGTGTGGTGCTGGGTACCTGTAGTTCTAGCTACTCAGGAGGCTGAGGCAAGAGAATCGCTTGAGCCCAAGAGTTCAAGGTTGCTGTGAGCTGTGATACCACAGTACTCTGAGGGCAACAAAGTGAGACTCTTGTCTCAAAAAAAAAATGTTGGGTTGGCACCTATAGCTCAGCAGCTAGGGCACCAGGCACATACACCAGAGCTGGTGGGTTCGAACCCAGCCTACCAAACAATAAAGTACTTTAATTAAAAAGAAAATGTAGGGTGGCGCTTGTGGCTCTGGGAGTAGGGTGCCGGTCCCATATGCCAAAGGTGGTGGGTTCAAGCCCCAGCCTGGGGCAAACTGCAACAAAATAAAAACATTAAAAAAAAAAAAAGAAAATGTATTTATTTATTCATTTACTTGAGACAGTCTCACTCTGCTACCCGAGTTGCATCCAGTGGCGTCAGCCTAGCTCACAGCAACTTTAAATTCCTGAGCTCACGCAGTCCTCTTGCCTCAGCCTCTCAAGTAGCTGGGACTACAGCTGCCAGCCACAACACCTGCCTAGTATTTTTTTCTATTTTTAGCAGAGACAGGGTCTTGCTCTTGCTCAGATTGTTTTCAAACTCCTGAGCTCAAGGGATGCACCTGCCTTCGCCTCCCAAAGTGCTAGGATTACAGGCATGAACCACCATGCCTGGCCAAAAAAATTTAAAAATTTAACCGAATTTTTAACTATAATATTTGAATATATGCTTGTTGTAAAAACAAAAGAAAATTTAAATACTGATAAGGCTAATAATGGCTTCTTGATCCTTGTTCCCATTGCATTTCCCTCCCCAGTGTGTGTGTTCTCCTAGATCTTTTTCTTTTTTTTTTTTGCAGTTTTTGCCGGGGCTGGGTTTGAATCCGCCACCTCCCACCTCCAGCATATGGGGCTGGCTCCCTACTCCTTTGAGCCACAGGCACCGCCTGAATATTTTTATTTCACTTAAAAATTTTTTAAATTGACACACAATAATCGTACATAGTCATAGGTACCTAGTGACGCTGTGACGCATATAATGTATAGTGATCAGATTAGAGTAATTAGCATATCTGCCATCTCAGACATTCATCATCACTTTGTGTTGGGAACATTCTTTCTCCTCCTACCTACTTGAAACTATATAGCATGTTTTTTTTTTGTTTGTTTGTTTTTTCTCGAGACAGAGTCTCACTGTGTCACCCTTGGTAGAGTGCTATGGTGTCACAGCTCACAGCAACCTCAAACTCCTGGGCTTAAGCAATTCTCTTGCCTCAGTCTCCCAAGTAGCTGGGACAGCAAGTGCCCACCACAGTGCTTGGCTATTTTTTGTTATTGTTGTTGCAGTTGTCATTGTTTAGCTGGCCTGGACTGGGTTGGAACGCCTTGGGTGTATGTGGTCAGCGCTGTAACCATTGTGCTACAGGTGCCAAGCCATAACATGTTATTGTTGACTATAGAACCAGAACTTTTGTTTTTTTTTGGTTGCAGCCGTCATTGTTGTTTGGGGGGCCCGGGCTGGATTCGAACCAGCCAGCTCAGGTGTATATGGCTGGTCCTGTAGCCACTTGACCCACAAGCGCCAAGCGAGCTGTAGAACCAGAACTTATACCTACTTTGTGGCTGTCATTTTGTATCCTTTGTCTCCCTATTTCCTCCTTTCCTTCTACCCTTCCCATTGTCTAGTGTCCTCTGCTCTCCTCTTTCTTTCTTTCTTT